TAACCGATTTATAAATGGTCATGTTGTGTCAGAGGACAACTTGATCTGTTCCTCTAGGTTTCCGGATGATGTACATAAGTAATACGTCCTGCAAATCTTTTACACAAACTCTTCTTCAGCTACATTAGATCTTAGCTGCAGTAACAAGATTTTCCAGTGTCGTCTAACCGGATTTCACTGTGAAAATCTACCCTGGGATGCAGGTTCTAAACAGTATATCATGGAAAAGTGCTTATTTTGCATCTTTGACTAGAACGTAACTTAATTTTCCTATAGCTCTTTGTACAAATAATAACATTTATTACATTTTGTCTCTCCCAGAGGATGATGTGAAATGAGTATGTGAGTAATATCTCTTCTGTAATGTGTGTAGATTACACAAAGGCCTCCATGTGTAGCTCCAGCTCGTGCTCCCTAAATAGCGAGAACCCATACGCCACCATCCGAGATCCACCCAGCCTGGCCTGCAAGCACACTGAAAGCAGCTATGTGGAGATGAAGTCACCTGCTCACAGAGACCTGACCTTCTGCTCCAGCACTAGCACAACCCTGACCACTGCCAGCAGGAACGTCTATGACGTGGGTGAGTCTCATGAATGCAGATGGGGACTTACTTCTTATAGAAAGTCTCCAATTCTCTCATTTTTGTCTCTTTAAGCACAACATTGTTGTTAGTACAATGTTGCCATATGGAAACACTGTCCTTCACTTTCTCACTAATGTGAAAAACAAATTGCATTGTGATTCCTATAGGAAAGACAGGGTTTTTGCATTGTTGCGTAACGCAGAACAATAGGCTTATTTATTCGTAAATAATAAATGAGCTGTGAAGTTACACTTTCATTTTTTTTATGTAATTTGTACTTCAATATTCAGGTGTATGTTTACTTTTTATTTTATTTGTAAATAAAATACATTTGTATGTGTATATATTTTAGTTAGATGTCATAATATTATTATAAAATATTCATTTTGAAGTGTAATAAAAAAAAGAAAGTGTAAATGTTGCCATACACAGTATAAATAAAATAAATGCATACATAAATATATTAATATATCTATGTATGTTTTTACATTTTATATATATATATATATATATATATATATATATATATATATTAGTGCTGTCAAACGATGAATCGCATCCAAAATAAAAGTTTTTGTTTACATAATATATGTGTGTGTGTACTGTGTATATTTATTATGTATATATAAATTCACACACATACAGCATATATTTTGAAAATATTTACATGTATCTACAGGTATATATTTATATGCATATAATCTATATTGTATATAAATATATTTAATATATAAACATAACATATTTTTCTGAAATGTATACATGCATGTGTGTGTATTTATATATACATAATAAATAAACAGTACACACACATATATTATGTAAACAAAAACTTTTATTTTGGATGCGATTTAATCGCGATTAATCGTTTGACAGCACTAATATATATTTATATATTTATATGTATATTTCAGCGTTATTTTAGTATTTTTATGTATCATTATATTATTTATTAATATTTTGAATTAGCTTTTATTTTTATATGTCCAGTTGTCATGTTTTTATACATTAAGTTTTAATACTTTTGTCAGTTTTAATTTTTTTTACTATTTCTAAATAGCTTTAATTTTTTATTTTACTTTTAGTAATTTTATAACTTTGGCTTATTTCAAAACATGTCTAATTTTTCATTTAAGTGTTTCATCTAATATTATTATATTATATTTCAGCTTTATTTCAATTACCAAAAATTAATTTAAGACAACACTGCTGTCTATATACAATATATAAAATAACATATATTGAAATGTATACTTTATTAAAATAAAATAGCTTTTGTAAGGTTTATTATTATATAGATGTGTTTATGCACAAGTATATTTATGCTTTGTTTTTAATTAAGCATTATTGATGAATGAGACCCGATATTAAAATATAAATGATAATACACTCAATTTTAGTTATTTAAAGGAAAATTGTTTGACCATTTTCAATTGTACTATAAGGTTGCCATATTGCAATATTCAATCCCATTATATTTCCCCAATTTATGTAAAAATATCTAATGAGAAAGATTTAAAAAAAAAAAACATCTTTAGAATATAATCTACTGCATACCATAGACAGAGCTGCAGTTGATTTAAAGATTCAGAGAGTTTGAGAAATCGAGCCGCTCACCCCTCGCCACCCTTCTTCCTCAGAACCAACAGTGAGTGTTCTTCAAGGACCCAACGGCCTGGCGACCGGATTCTCGCAGAGTCCTTATGACCTCCCGCGGAACAGCCACATTCCCAGCCACTACGACATCCTGCCAATGCGCCACAGTCCTACACACACCCCACCCCCTCCAGAGAGCCCCCCGAGCTCCCTGCTGTAGAGCCCAGTCCTACCCAGCCCAAAAACACAGACGCAAGGACCTCGATTTTTAAAATCTCTCTTTCTCTTCAACAATCATTCAAGTACAGATGCATGACATACCGGACATGACACAGGAGAAGAGAGTATTCCTCTCTGGAGGATTGTGGAAATTGAATTGTACATCAAAACAAGAACAGATTTGGACACCAGCGATTATTCACCATCCTTCTCAGAGGCGTTTTATAACAAGCTGTGCATATAAAAGCAGCATTCTTTGTTTATAGGTCTCTGAAAAGACTTTTAGAGGGAATAAAGGAGCATTTGAGATGCTTTCATGAAAACATACGATATGTTGAAACTTAAAAACCAGAGCTCCGCATACTGGAACAGAACATCAATGCGACTCAATGATCCAGAACTTTTCATTTGGAGTTGGCATCGATCTTGAAAACGAGAGCCAGGGATGACCATGAAGAGACAATCCTCTATTTTTTTTTTTTGCCCCCCAAAAAAAGTCTGGACTTCAAGGTATTGGTGACAAATCATGGTTTCAATAAGAAATAATAAGACTTCTTATTGCATAAAGATGGTTACCAAAACATAATGTGAGATGAGCGAGAACCGACCATTTATCTACCACTTCTAAACCTACCGAGAAATATTTATAAAGGTTTATGAGGACAGCCTGGGTCAACATGAGCTACACTGCAACCTGGTGCTTTCTACTGTACATAGGAGTTTATGACTGTTGCTATCATTTATTTGGGTGTGTATGTTTTATGAACGTGGGATTAAGTTGACACTTTTCAAAGCTATCATGTTTAGTTTTTCGTCTTTGTATGTTTACATTTTTAAAACTTCTGTTAGCAGGCCTTGAAGGGTTTTTAATTTGTGGTTCTGTATTTATGATGTTTATTTATACCTCGTTTGTGCAAGTGATGTTTTTCTTTGTAGTGTAAAAGGTAAACATTTAAACGGGGGAAAAAAGTAGCATGAACAAATGATGATAACCATAGTGACCAATTATTTTCATGTGCTTGTGCTATTCGTGCACAGTATTAATATATAAAGTCTACATTATATGTTAGCTCTTATGTCATAAATGACAAGACGAGACCTTATACGTGTCCTGAAAAGTTTAGTATAAATAGACTTGGAGACGTGTCCCATTCCTTGTGTTTCGGTTTGTTTGATGACTACAGCTTTGCAGCTTTGATTTGGGTTTTGTTCTAAAGTGGCTGCATTCCCATATAATAGCAATAACATAGTGACAATCATTCATAAATAAAAGGGAAAAAATGCATTTCATCAATCCTACCAGCTCTACAGATCAATAGTGGCTGCTCTCGCACTTTTAAGATTTGTTCCAGAATACTCAGTTCATTTCTTTGTTTAATTGCTATTAGATTTTTTATTGTAAAAATATATATAGTCCTAATTTTAAACTTGTCCTAAGGACAGTACACATACTTCACTTGGAGTACTTAATCGAGTTGTTCGGCAGTCAAATTTGTGTGTATTATTAACCACTAAATTTTATTATTGTCTGTCCCAAGAAAAGTTTACTTTTACCTTAAATATTAAAAAAATTATAATTTAACAATAATGTTAAATGTAATCAATATCCTTTTTTTATACTGTGCATTATAATGTTGTGATGCCTAAATTCGCTTGTAGCATTTTAAAATACGGATTCTTGTTTTTAGCATTCTATTTTTAATTCATTTAGAAAACACATGATTTTAATATTGTCCAACCATTATGAAAATAATTATTGCCAGATATGTACTGAACATTATCCGTTACATACAAGTGCTCCCTTTTGAATTAACCAACTACTTTTACTAACTTAAGAAATTAGGACTTAGTGGTCATGCCTTAAGGAACTGAAATAAAATATACCAAAAAATAAGGAATAAAGTAACAGAGAACATAGCTGCAGTGGTTAATGAGGTTTAAAAAAAAACTCTTACATGACAACTCTTGAGCTTTTAAAGAAAAGTTAACCCAAAAAATTTAATTTGCTTCAAATTTACTCACCCTCAGGCCATCCGAGATGTAGATGATTGCTTTTATGAAAACAGATTTGGAGAAATTTAGCATTAAATCACTTGTTCACCAATAGATCCTCTGCAGTGAATGGGTGCCGTCAGAATGAGAGTCCAAACAGCTGATAAAAACTTCACAATAATCCACAAGTATTGTATTGTGAAGTGAAAAGCTGCGTGTTTGCAAGAAACAAATCCATTGAGGCGTTTTCAATGTCAGCCCTGTTGCTTTCAACTAAAATATGAGTCTTCTATCTATAACATTGCTTTCTCCAGTGGAAAAGTCATCTCATCTGAATCAGGAGAGAAATAGGCACAGATCAAGCACTGGTTACAAGCCAAAACAGATCTAAACAAATTATGTTGGTGGATTTTGATGTGAGAAGACAACAGGGGATAGATAGACTTTTCACTGGAGGAAGCATCATTATGGATTATGGACGTTATTATGCATTTTAGCCAGAAGAGCTCAAGCAAACTCATCTACATATTGGATGGCCTGAGGGTAGATTTTCATTTTTGGGTAAACTATTACTTCAAACACACACAAAAACCAGTATAAGCCTAACTTTGAATTAACTACATATTTTATTTGCTCTTTTAAATTGGAATTACAGTGGACAGAGTAATAGTATAATCATAATACAAAATAAATCACAGTACATTGCAGACAAAAAAAAGAAATCAAGTTCTCGAGGCAATACGTGAAAGATCCGACAGTCAGAAAAGTAATATCCGTTTAATCTTACTAGGACACACCAGCTATGTGCAGTGCATGGGCAGGTCATAGTTGTGCCATCTGTACCCTCACATCATTGGCACTGGCCCCCGTTAGCACCAGAGACCCCTGCCTTTAAAGAACAGTCATACAATCAGAGTCAGGGTCCTAAACGAGCACAAGCAGACCCTGACACGTGTATAATCACCAGGTCTTTTCCTTTTGATGGCGATAAGTACTGTATTACCTCGATGTGCTGCTTAGAAGACCTAGAGTTTTACCTTATGAGATACAGGAGACTAAAAACAGTAAAATGACTCGCATGCACTTATGTCGGTTCGTTCGGTTCAGTCTGATTCACTAATTACATTGCAGCCTTTAAGGGCCTTCAATTCCACCTGGAATGTGTTCTGATACTGCTGAGAATGATCGTAGCAAACTATGTTATTTCACCTAGGGCTGGGGTAATTAAAGTCAGGGGGATCGATAACCAAAGTGAAATTTCCAGCAAATAAATGACTTCAGGGTTGCAGACCAAGATGCTGAGGTCTAGAGTATTCCTCCGCTCCGAGGTCACCCGTGGTGACCGTTATATAACATGCATTATTAGTTCAGTCTTTACTGATATTTTGTGTCACACTGAGTAAGTTTTATTAGACAGCCATTAAGCGAAGACGAGCATCACAGCTTGTGGTAGTTTCCCCATCTGCTGGACTCAGGACAACGACTTTTTCGTAGGCTAAAACATATAATACATTCATAAATTATCACACTGTCTTAACATTTAAGAGTCCCGCCACGAAGACTAAAGGCTAACAACTCGATCAAAGTGACTACCACAGAATAAATACAAGTTACAGGTCTTAAGATCATTAATCATGTAGTGGCGCTAAGTCAAACCGGGAGAGATTCAGTGCATTCAGTGCAAAAACGAAAAGAAAAAGTATCAAATCTATTCCCTAGAGTGCTCTCATGGGATGTGGCCGTCAGCTGGCCGCCATTCACCGCTGCCTGTTTTTCTTGTTCTGAATTTAACGACAGAGCGTGACCTGCAAAAGTACAATGGGTTCGAGGTTGTGACGAGAAGAGAATGTTACGTTTAGTCTCTATTCCCTCGTTTCATACTGAATAGGTCTGTGGTAGTGTTTCGAAGAGAACTTGTGCCTGTCCGCTGAAGTACTTTTCCCCTCTTTTTGCATTATCAATTATTGTTTCTACAAATTGAACTTTTGCTATATGTAGACAAGGGCTGGAATACAAAAAAAAAGGTTTGTGTTAGACTACATTACAATTTGCACTGGCTCGGGTAGCTGAAGAGGTGCTGCGTTTTAAGCGCATGCATGAAGGCGTCCGTGTGTGTGACGTTCCATCAGAAAAAAAGGCACTAAAACCACTATTCTACCTCGAAGCACGTGAAGGTGATGAGAAAACAGCGCGGTAGCTATATGCCTTAAGGCCTCTTCCACTGGCCTGATGGTGAAATCAAGAACGTGACGCGATGTTCCCCGTGCCAAGTGCGTGAAGGGACTGTACATGCGATGTAAATCATACTTGGAAGATGGCTGAAAGGTGAAGCCTGTGGTCTTTGGGCCCTAATCGTCATCTAACATCTATCAGGTACATCATCTCTCGACAATCACATTAAATATAGCAAAACCTCCAATACTGCACGTTTCTCCCCTCCACCCCAGACATGCCAGTGACAAGGGGGCTGCTACTAAAGACATACATAAGCGAACCTCACACGTTTGCGAATGAAATTATAATATATATATATATATATATATAAGACATTTCAGTGAAGATCGGCACAAATGATTATTAAAATTCTGCAATATAAAAGCCTACCATGGCAGGAAGGAGAAGAACCAACCAAAAAAAAAACAAGCTTAGTCCAGACTGCAGGTGGTGACCCTTTGAGATTCCAGCTTTTGGAACCAGCCTCTGTGCTCAAGCCTAGTTGTGCAGCTGCATCTCAGACCCAAAGCAGTCTTGAAGAGGAGGGGAGGAGGGGGTGTTGCAGGTGGGTGGTTGGAGGAGGGTACGGGACAGGACTGGTGCCGCTAGATGCTCTGGCAGCACTGCATCTTTGGTTTATTCTCAGTAGGTTGCACCTGGATGGACACCACATTGTTGCTTGGTGACATGTCATTGTCTCGGCGGTCAGACATCTGCTTTTGGGATACGATCCGGTAGATTTCTGCAGAACGGAAAGAGATATTAATGCCAAGACATTGCCAACAATCCAGGAACTGGTAATGAATACGGACTTTGTGTTGCCATAAAAGCCTATAAACCCTACAGTTATTACTGGATGTCAGGGGCGAATGCAATTATAGCATTGCAACGGACTGCGATGCTTTTGAAACATTTATTATTTGTTCCTCCTCTGCAGATGCCAGGAGCCGAACAGAGGAGCAAAAGAAGACCGAAACTCTCTATTGCAGTCACGTCAGGCTAGAGAAACCTAGCCATCAAAGCAGGGCTTTTGATGAGTCATTCATAAGGATATGGCCTTCAGCCAATCATTTACAATCTTTCTTTTCCTTTTTGACAAACACACAGTCGCTTCCTCAAGCTTGTTTAGTGTGGATTTCCTTATTCATGCATTCCTCATTACAAAAATAAAAAAGTTTATCATCCTTCAAAGCACACTCACCAGTCAGGATGGTCTGAAAAGCGGTCTCTACATTAGTGGAATCCAAGGCTGAGGTCTCTAGGAAGGACAGACCATTTTTCTCTGCAAACATCAGGGGACATACATTAATGGACATGGTAACTAACAAAGTACACAAAGAAACTAAAGAAGCCCTGGCTATACACACTTCCTGTAATTTATCAGGAGTTAAAGGTCTACTTGTAAGAGTTTACTGTGGATCCAACCTGCAAATGCACGTGCTTCGTCGGTGGGCACGGCCCGAAGGTGACGCAAGTCACTTTTATTGCCCACGAGCATGATGACTATGTTGCTGTCTGCGTGGTCTCTCAGCTCTTTAAGCCAGCGCTCCACATTTTCATAGGTCAGGTGCTTGGCGATGTCATACACTAGAAGGGCCCCAACAGCTCCCCGGTAATACCTGTAAACCAACATGGGTAATAAATCAAAAGTAGATGGTAAAGTGAAGAGTAAGCTCAATGAGCACGCTTAAAAGTCAACATGAAATCAAAATATACACTTCTTGATTCTAATTTGAGTAATTCAATGGTTATTGCAATTAAAAATACAAACATTTGACTTCCTACTCAGTTATGTCAATCAGTCATGTAAACACTTCTGAAACAACTTTTGTTTTGGGGTGGTCACAAACTCCCTCATACTTTTCACTCAAAAATACATCAGATTATGCTAATATGAGCTGGGAGTGCTACATTTACATTTATTCATTCGCCAGATGCTTTTATCCAAAGCTACTTACAGTTGAGGAATACAACAAGCGGCTATCTTAAAATGCCAATAAACACGAGACGTGCCCATTATACAAGGTTTCAGTCATCGTTCAAAATAGTAAAAGCTAGGACAGGAAGGGATAAAGGATATTAAGAGAATAGAAAACGTGAAGGCATAGATTTTTTTTTTTATGAGGCGGCAGTCAGATGCTGACAGAAGAGATGAGTTTTCAAGTGTTTCTTGAAGATTTTCACATTGACTTTAAACACTGAGTTAAGTAACTCAGAAATATAGAAATAACTATAATGTTCACTATACAGTTATTGCATTCACACCAACTCACAATAACTTTCTGTTTATCATCATCATTCATAACAGTTATCTCAAGTGCCATTCTAAATGCTTGAGCTCTTTAAAGTCAGGTGGATTCTGACCATCACACTCTTCAACTGGAAAAAGAAATATTCTGAAAGTGATTCTACATTATATGTTGTTATTGTGACTGTTGTGATTTCGTGGTGTGGACTTCTAGGCTTAGAATGTTTATTAAAATTTCACAAGTCACACTTATCGTCCTTGCTGGTAATTGACCTTTAGACTTATTCAAAAAGAACAAATTAAGATATATCAACTGTTATCTGTAACATGAGTAGGGATGCACCGATATGAAAATTTTGGCCGATACCGATAACCGATTATTCTTTATTTTTGAAAGCCGATAACCGATATGTTGGCCGATAAATCTATATCCAAATTGTTATATACTTTTTGAGAGCCTGATTACAAAAAAGGTCTCATCATTAAAAGCCACATCCCAAACACTTCAACATAAGCAGCCTAGTTTGAACGGTGTACGTTTTAAAAATATTTTTACTCTCCCATTACCAAATTTAGTCATTAAAAAGTCTTACAAATAAATAAAATTATGCATAAATAATGCAAACAAGTCACTGGACATCATTACACGTGTAAAGAATCAAAATGAATGCGCCATAGATCAATAAAACGGAATAGCCTCTGCACGGACAATAATTAAATTATTTTAATTACTAAACCATATTGTTGATGAAAATAATAAGAGAAAAATACAAGTGGTTGTTGTTTTTAATAATGTATCAATGATTTTGAAAATAACAAATTAATACCACTGTTTTAAATAGCAGCCGTTGAGCTGCGCGTGCTGAAGCTGAAGAGCTGAATGAACATGGTAAACTGAAGCGTTTTGCTGGCAGCTTATTTAACTCAAGGAAATGCATCCTGAGATTAATATTAATACAAAATAAACATAATATTACAACTTATATATGTACAAAATGATGCAGTTATTGCGTGCTATAGTCAGAATGTGTGATCCTGTTGTGGATGCGCTCTTCCCATATCAACGCGCTGAAACACAGCAACTAAACCCAAAGAATGCACAACGTTTTATTATAATAATGTTCTCATTAGAATGTTATATACACAACATTCCCAATCATAGTTATTAATGTTGTGCACTGCTGTTTTATCTGCGTGCGCTGAGCTAAAGACGATCATCGGTAAACTGAAGCGCTCTTTTAACTTAACCAAACGCATTCTATATGAGATAAATCAGATATACATCAAATAAACACAATATTACAACGTACAATTGCACAAAAGGCTGCAAACGAACAGCGCGCATCTGAAGTGTCTCTGAAGAAAATAATGCATTATTTATCGGCTTTAAGATATCGGCCAAATTTTCTTATCAGGCCGATACCGATAACAGAAAAAATTTGCATTTATCGGCCGATACCGATATGGTGGCCGATATATCGTGCATCCCTAAACATGAGGAATAATATTTTTGACATTTGAAGAGCCTTACGCTGAAGTGATGGCCCGGTAGCGTTCCTGTCCAGCTGTGTCCCAGATCTGAGCTTTCACCGTCTTTCCATCCACCTGAATGCTACGTGTAGCGAACTCTACTCCAATAGTACTTTTGCTTTCAAGGTTGAATTCATTTCGGGTGAAACGGGACAACAGGTTACTCTTCCCCACACCAGAGTCTCCGATCAGGACCACTTCAAAATAAAACACATCAGGGTTTCATATCTGACATCAGGACATCAGACCTCTTTTTAAAGGGTTAGTTCACCAAAAGATGTAAATTCTGTCATCATTTTCTTACCCTCATGTAAACCCATAAGAATTTTCCACATCTTCAAAACACAAATGAAGACATTTTAATGAAACCCTCCGGCCATTGCATCAAAACGTTGACAGTTGAGAAACAAGCATGTTCCGTGTTTACCATATTTGATCAACTCTATATACATGCATTGATCAATATTTAGATATGAATAAAAGACTAAATTACATAAAGCAATTGTGTCTCTTCAGAAGACTTGTTTGCTATGTCTGAGTTTTTGAACCAAGTTTTAGTTAGGCCTACATGGTCTTTTAACGGAGGAACAGAAATCTCTCAGGTTTCATTATAAAATATTTGAATTTGTGTTTCAAAGATAAACCAAAGTCTTATGGGTTTTGAATGACATGAGGTTGCGTAAATGACAGAATTGTAATTTTTGGGTGAACTATCCCTTTAAATGGGAGTGTGAGTGATAAATCAAAGGTACTTCTATCTAAAATAAAATAAAGGAACAAACCTCTTCACATTAGGAAACTGAGTGCTTCTGTCACAACCAGATGCCACAGCCCGATTTAAAAGTGAAGTGCATTTAAATAAATGGCAAAAAATGTCATTGTTGGAGAGATTACCATTTTTGGTAACATGGCTCTGACACAAACTTGTTGGAGATTGTGGACTTATAGAAATGTTCTAATCTTATTTTTAAGACATACACTGAACATGACTAAACTACTAGATTAGAGAGTTAGTTTACAACAATCACATGTCAGCACATCATTTCCAACATGTCTCACAGGAGTGAAACCTCACAACCTGCTGGAACAATGCACTGCAAAGATCACTAAAATGGAAAACACAACTTGTCTCAGGGACTTTTTTCAAAGTTTCATATGCTTTCATGAAGGAAAAACAACATACGTTCGCAAAAAGAGGCCGCGTCACCTGACACCTTACCTTATATTCACTTAAAAAGACAATAACAATAACCTTACACAAACAATTAGCCCTTTTTAAAAGACAGTTCAACCAAAACATGTAAAGTCCGTCATTACTCACGTTTTTCCAAATCCGTATTACTTTATTTTCGTCGATAAAACACAAAAGGAGATGTTAGCGCAATGACAGCTTCACTCACCGTTCACTTTAACTGTACTGAAGAAGATATAATGAAAGTGAATTGTGGTTTAAGTTGTCCCAAATATCTCCTTTGTCGTCCACAGAAAAAAAGAAAACCATACATGCTTGGAGAAAAACAGGCCGTTTCCAATTTTCCGCCTGCTCCGTTAAACTCCTCCGGCGACAGTCTCGGCTAACTTCAGCTAGCCGCTTCAAGGTGTGGTCCGACCTACGGCCAAATGTTTTATGTGCTAACCATCACGCATATGAACTCAGTGTGCCCTAACGGAGGAATATTTCACATTAACCAATAAACACTAAAATTATACTTTTCCAGCCGGGGAGCAGGCGTTTGTTTGGGCTGTTGGAAACCAGCTAGCCGGTTAGCTGGCCTTTAGTGTTTAATATAAAACCACACTAACTAACAATAACCACGATTATCGGAGCCGCTTTAACTTGTACACTCGAGACAAATGTATTCTGTACTCACCTTTAAACAAGTAGTCATATTCGTCATCTCGCGTCCCCATCTCGGTTCAAACAAAAGCGCAAACAATGGAAGAATGTGAAGGAAAAGTGGAGCCGACCCTGTCCTCTCCGCAGCTGCACTGCAGTGTATTTGTGATTAGGCTGTAGCCATGCTAGCAAGTTAGCAAGCAGGCGAACCAGCAGCGAGCTTCTCCCGAAGTGTTCCGGGTTAGAGCCGTTACAGACTGTCAAAATAAAAGCCTTGTTATAATATTCATTTAATTTCATTTGACTGTATTTTTTTTTTTTACAAAAAGCTTTCATTAAGTTGAAGATGAGATACCATTGTAATGTAAAAATGTACTGTGTATAGTGTGTAAAATATTGTGTGCCTTGTTGATACGTGGTTTGTTGAACGTATATGTTATTATCTTGTATTTATTGTGGTTTAAGTGTGGTTTGTTCTGAATACAGTACAGTTGTAACGTCTAGCTGATTTATCACATTTTACTAAACAACAATAAAAATGGTCGTGTGTTCGCGCTTTCGTGTTTTAAATGCTCATTTTAAAGTTTAATATGTTTCATTATGAAATATGTGCTTTGTCAGAAATTAAAGATTTCTTGGTACAACAGAAAACACTACTTTCATTGGGGGAACATAGCAAGAGAGTGATGTGAAATATGTCCTGCAGTGAGGTTTGTGGTGTACCACTGTGTTCGTGAGAGATTTAATTTCAAACTAGGCTTGTATGTGGTTGTTTAGGTCATACTTCCTGGTGATGGAGGTTTGGAGGAAAAAACAAACGATCAACAAACACGACCACTTATTTCACACCTAGTCCTCAAAAACTGTAGATTTCAGCCGCTTGGTAGCGTGGTTCCATGGTGTAATGGTTAGCACTCTGGACTCTGAATCCAGCGATCCGAGTTCAAATCTCGGTGGAACCTAGCTTTTTATTCTTTTTTAGTAAGAAATGTTAGTTTGGATTTATCAATAATAGTTAACAGTGGCATGAAACATTTGTGCTTAAAAGCCCAATAATAAGCTCAAACACTGTGATAAATCCGTAACACGCTTTTTTATTCATTTATTATAATTATTTTATTATATATTTTTTAAATATTACAAAAAGGAAAGGTATTAATCAGGTATTAATCGTCTAAAATTAAATGAAACGTTAAGCGTTAAGCGTTCTGCAAAAAACGATTTATTTATAATAAATTCAAACTTTACGTACGACCCCTAGGGTGCAGTATTGTGCGTGTCTTGAGGTCTTGAGTCACAAAAAAACCCAAAATGGTTGAAATATACTCAATTTGAGATTGCATGTGCATAAACAAGGGGCTTTCTGAATTCTATCATTTAGTAATCTAAAACATACAGGTGTACCTTCTTTAGGTAGATGAAAGGCAATGCATTGCAGTGGTGATGGGAAAGTCCCCATGGTTCACAACCAGTAAGAAACATATTTCAGATTTGAATTGATGCATATTCATCTCATGTTTAGCCACCTATATTTATTTTATGTTGAGTGGATAGTGTGGAAATGACAAGGAAAATGATGCCACCAAAAGTATTTAGTCATTCTGTAATTATATTCTTAAAAGTATCAAATTCCATACTTGGTTGCACAATCGTATAGCAACCAAGCCTGTGACTCAAAAGCTTTTTTTGATTACACAAAAATCAGTTACAGCTATAAGAAGATTTTGTACTTCTCAGATTCTAGTTCAGAGTGCCAAATAAACCAGCATTCAAACATTCCTTAACTATTCCAACAAATGGCTACGTTTTTTTTGTTACATCACCCAGACTCATCTAGCAGGAAGACTTTGTCCAGAAGTTCTAGTGAATATCCTCTGGTGCTTTGCAGCAAACTGTACATGACTGTAATCAGAGCTGCATTTTGGATGTATTTTCTTTAGGTCTGCTATTAATGTAGTCATGTTGCTGACTCATATTTGAAAAGAATCACCTGCTGGACAGTTGGGGGGTTTCCTTCATTGCAAAATGTGTTCTTATACCAACCAATGGGCAGTGTAATGCCTTTCATTTTTGTCACCATTAAATATTCTCATATTTTAGGTGTTTTCCTCTTAGAAAAGTATTAGTTGAATAAAAATAAATAAATAACATACTAGAAGAAGAAAAAAATGTTTTATGTAGAATGAAGGAGGTTTACTTTTCAGCTTTTTTGAGCTTGCAGTTAGAAAATGATACCGTGTGAAAGTAGTTTTGCAAGTGGAAGGTCACTGTATGGTTCACATTTTAGAATATCTCAAATGGAAAATTAGGATATTTCCATTTTATTTAACTGACATTAACTGGTTTTAATACAATCCAATAAAATGTAATACAATAGTAACCATTTCAAATAGCAAAATTATGTCTTTACAAAACCATATTACAAAAATAAAACAAAATAATTATGAGAACATCAATAATAATAAAACTGTACTTAACAAATTTGCGAGGTGTTTTGATTGTCCTATAAAACATTCAAAGCAGTCAGACACAGGACCCCAAAAAAAAGGGATGTCTTATCACGCAACGCCCTACTTTAGAATTCGCTAAGCATCTTAAAATGCTTATTAACTTTTTAAGTACTTATTTGCTATAAGTTGCATGCATTTAACCAAACAGTGTCAAATTTTGTTTCATTTCAAGTTTGGGTTTATTAGTTATTTGAATCATACACAAACACACAGTGAAAGATAATAACATTACTTCAGCTTTACAGGGAAATTATAGAGACACTGAGGTAGGCACAAATACAAGACACATATCAACACATAAATATGATTTTTGTGCAGCACGGTCAAATAAAATTTAGGTACAGACATCTTATTTTTGCCAGTTGTACCTCTCAATTCTTAGATAAATACATCAAGATGACATATCTATGGCGAACCGGAGTACTACCACAAGTGGGCTATGTATAAATTCCATTTCAAATGAACACAATTTCTAGCCTATAACAAACATAATTGCTACATCTAAACAAATGGAGAATCCTGTGAAGTTGTGTAGAAATGCGCCACATATTGAATACCACTTAATCACAAGCAAGACCCCAGTAGATATCATCAAACTCTGTGGTAGGCGCTCTGTGGTAGGCGCAGGTGGAGATCAGCGACAGCAGCCTTCAAGCTCTAATCAGTTTGTTCAGCTGCTCCCATGCCAAGTGTATAAAACTCAGCTCCAGTCTCAGATTCAGATCCAAACATTAAAACTAAAAAACTTCTCTGTAATTAAAAAACAATGCAAAATGTTGTACTCCACACTCCACAGCAGACTGAAACTCATAAGGCAGGCAGTGAAGTTCCAAATACCTTATCTTGATTGATGCCAAAAAGGCCATACTAGGTTGACTGTTGATGTCTGAAACTCTATTCCTACCATTTGGCCATCGTCTGGCCTTTTGAACCACATAGCTATAGGACTATATCAAGAGGGGCTGGTGGATGTCCTAATCCTTCTGATGTTTATGGCTTTGCACAGCCAGTTGGGTGGCCAGCCAGCATCCACTTAAACTGCTTTATTAAATCATTCATCTGGGTTTAAGAAGTGTTCTGGGTGTCTTCTTGATGAAGAAACCTGAAGCACTTTGAAGATGGCCTTCAGTAGTCATACTCTCTCGGGTGCTTTGCGGCACCTTTTGATCTCTGAACCTTCTAAACAAACATTCTCTTGCAGCACATTAACCCCCACGTGTTTTCTAGATTAGCATTGCATATGTCCAAGTACATCGTTTTTCCAAAATCACATTTTTCAGTGGATATCTGCCCTATTGTTTTCAGATCCTGCTATTTTTGTCTGGGGACACTTTGCAAGAAAATACCTTATGCTATGTCAGTTGAGACACATATTTAACAAGCTGAGGAGCTGTAGTTGAGAATGTAGTTACAGCGGCAATCCGCCCTCATCAGACCACCTAGAATGGCATGGAAAGTCTGAGTCAGTGGCACATTTTGTTGGCAGTCACACCATTAACTAGACAAAAATTCAGCAAATTCTCTGTCTGGTGAGGGCTGCATTGCCATTTTCAAAGCCCTGTTAAACCAGCAGTGCAGGACCAGGGTTTGCAAACAAACTTAGGGAGTCCCATAGGGCCTATACTTTCTATAACTTTGTCTTTGAATCAATGATGTGAAGGAGATTGCCTCCATAAACTGAACCATTGACATGGTGATATTTCCCCACACGATGACTGCTAATGGACATCAGCAATAATAATAATACAAAATGGAATAAAATACATTGACTTATGTTACATTGGCACATTATAACATTTTTTTATATAAATGGCTAAGGGAAGTATCCAAAGAACGGGGTGGCTGAAATAATTCTAATAGTCAGGCCCAAATGAAAATGCTTCTGTAATGACACCAGATTGACCATTTGTCAGAGTTATTAGAGTTTAAACCATAGGAAAAAAATGTAGTTTTATATATATAAAATCTTTATATATAAAGAAATTTGAAATTTTATATATATATATATATATACAGGTGCATTTTAAAAAATTTGAATATCATGAAAAAGTTAATCTTTTTTTGTAACATTTCAAAAAGTGCAACTTTCATATATTCTAGATTCATTACATGTAAAGTAAAACATTTCAAAAGTTTTTTGTTTTAATTTTGATGATTAGAGCTTACATCTCATGAAAGTCAAAAATCCAGTATCTCAAAATATTAAAATATTTACATTTGAGTTTCATTAAATGACCATCCCTACAGTATATACGTAACAGTACAAACGCCTTTGTTGTTAGTTTGCTGTTAGAGTCTGGTGGAAGACTGGAGAGGCACAGAATCCAAGTTACTTGAAGTCCAGTGTAAAGTTTTCGAAGTCAGTGATGATTTGGGGTGCCATGACATCTGCTGGTGTTTGTCCGTTGTGTTTTATCAAGTTCAAGGTCAATGTAGCCGTCTACCAGGAGATCTTGGAGCTCTTTATGCTTCCATCTGCTGACAAGCTTTATGGAGATGCTGATTTCCTTTTCCAGCAGGACTTTAGCACCTGCCCACAGTCAAGTGGTTTGCTGACCATGATATTACTGTGCTTGATGCATGTGCCAACATGCCTGACCTGAACCCAATATGGAATCTATGGGATATTTTCAAGAGAAAGGTGAGAAACAGTTCGTCAAACACTACAGATGAGCTGAAGGCTCAATAGTGCCTCAGCAGTGCCACAGGCTGATCGA